GCCTCAATCTGTCCCTGGTGGTGGGGGTGTTGGTAGGAGGCTGGGGGTGTTGGTAGGAGGCTGGAGGCGGTAGGGGGTGGTGGGGGTGATGACTGTGTGGAATGTTGGGGTGATGATGGGGTACTGAAGGTGCTGGAGGGTTAATGGTCATTATTTTCACCGAGATTGCATGTATTTATTGTATTTAGCGCACACGGGATCAACCACATTCCTGTAGACATCTTTGCCAGACGTAAGTATGGTAACCAGACCCATCTAGTGGTGGTTTACATCCCTACAACGTCAAATGATCGTTGGGAGTGCCGTGGCATTCTGGCGTATTAAGGGGTAGTTGCGAAGTATGGCTCAGTCACCTGGTCTGTGGTAATGGTTCCACCCAATTAGACTCTCTCAGGTCGTCACCTGCCGCACATCGAGTTGTAACCTCTGGTTCTTTGTCATATTTTGGGTTCACTGTTTATTGTCCTGAAGGTCTGCATTAAAAGGACTACATTTCGTGACACAAGGCTCATCCTTGTTTTGGGTATTGTGCCTTGTTGACTCACGAAATCGTAATAACACGATTGCAAACAATCCATACCCCGGCCGGGATTGAACCCGCGGTCATAGAGTCTCAAAACTCCAGACCGTCGCGTTAGCCACTAAACCAGCTAGCCACAATAAGATTCGTCCAACTAGGTATATTTCTACACCATAGGAAGGTTAGCACAGGCACCACTGTGACCACAAATGCAATTTGACGGCAGTGAAGGGACTTGAGCTAGAGTTCGTCACGGCCACGCTAGCTGGAGATTTGTCTGTAAAAACTTGCATTTGTGGTCACAGTGGTGCCTGTGCTAACCTTCCTATGGCGTAGAAATATACCTAGTTGGACGAATCTTATTGTGGCTAGCTGGTCTAGTGGCTATCGCGACGGTCTGGAGTTTTGAGACTCTATGACCGCGGGTTCAATCCCGGCCGGGGTATGGTTTGTGCCTTGTTCCTAGCTGAGCTTGTGCGTTGTTGCTGTGCAAGTGATACTGCCACAAGGAAGACTTGGAAGGTAAGTAACAACTCTGGTTTTGCATACTCTGCCGAATTTTTCGCGTGAGCGTTGTTAGCATTTAACTAGTTCTGTTGATAACGTTTATAGATGAAGGTTAACAGTTAAGGGAATTGTCGAACTCATACGCAGTTGGTTATTTTCTAAGTCTGTATGACGACTCACTATCTTTCTCTAAAGGCTTACGGTCTGCAACATACTCGTTATCGAACCTGTGATCGTTCCCGTGATCCCACTATTGTGAAAAATCTAGGTGGACAAATGCATGAATGATAGAGGTTGGATTTGAGTGAGACTTGCACGTGAGTAAATAGATTTGTTAGAGCTTATTGTTAGGGTAGCACTGAAAGTGGGTTCAGTAAATGTCGTGTTACTGGGTTGGCATTGTAAAGGACCTGCAAAGTATGGGCCAAGAGGCCTACTGCAGTGTTCCTCTTTTCTTATGTTCTAATGTTAACTAGGGATCCCGGGGCGGCTAGTTTTCCGTTCCAGTGATGCCTGCTGTATCTTGGGTACGCACCCCAGCTCTCAGGAGCTGGATGAGACGCCATATTTATACCAGTAATAAAATATACCTATTGGTAAAAAAATGAAAAGATTGGGTGGTAGGGGAAGTGGACTATTCAAATGGCTTCAGGAAGAAATCCAAATATTCTTCCTTGAAATTTTTTTATTCACTTATCTGAGGGTATGGGTCCCACAATTTTCACCAGAGGTGGACCCCATCATATATATATATATATATATATATATAATATATATATATATATATATATATATATATATATATATATATATAATATATATATATTTTTTATTATCACACTGGCCGATTCCCACCAAGGCAGGGTGGCCCGAAAAAGAAAAACTTTCACCATCATTCACTCCATCACTGTCTTGCCAGAAGGTGCTTTACACTACAGTTTTTAAACTGCAACATTAACACCCCTCCTTCAGAGTGCAGGCACTGTACTTCCCATCTCCAGGAGTCAAGTCCGGCCTGCCGGTTTCCCTGAATCCCTTCATAAATGTTACTTTGCTCACACTCCAACAGCACGTCAAGTATTAAAAAACCATTTGTCTCCATTCACTCCTATCAAACACGCTCACGCATGCCTGCTGGAAGTCCAAGCCCCTCGCACACAAAACCTCCTTTACCCCCTCCCTCCAACCCTTCCTAGGCCGACCCCTACCCCCGCCTTCCTTCCACTACAGACTGATACACTCTTGAAGTCATTCTGTTTCGCTCCATTCTCTCTACATGTCCGAACCACCTCAACAACCCTTCCTCAGCCCTCTGGACAACAGTTTTGGTAATCCCCGCACCTCCTCCTAACTTCCAAACTACGAATTCTCTGCATTATATTCACACCACACATTGCCCTCAGACACGACATCTCCACTGCCTCCAGCCTTCTCCTCGCTGCAACATTCATCACCCACGCTTCACACCCATATAAGAGCGTTGGTAAAACTATACTCTCATACATTCCCCTCTTTGCCTCCAAGGACAAAGTTCTTTGTCTCCCACAGACTCCTAAATGCACCACTCACTCTTTTTCCCTCATCAATTCTATGATTCACCTCATCTTTCATAGACCCATCCGCTGACACGTCCACTCCCAAATATCTGAATACGTTCACCTCCTCCATACTCTCTCCCTCCAATCTGATATTCAATCTTTCATCACCTAATCTTTTTGTTATCCTCATAACCTTACTCTATATATATATATATATATATATATATATATATATATATATATATATATATATATATATATATATATAATATATATATATATATATATATATATATATATATACATATACGCCTTAAATAAGAAATGCAACATTTCTGTACAGACTTCAGTCGTTAAAAAAATCAATTTTTAATGCGTGCGAAAAACAACGCCTTATATATTCGGGCAGGTTGCATAACACGATTTTCTTCATTATAATCTTTATATTGATGGGAGAGCGGTAAGTTCATATGGGTTTTAGAGCGCGTGAGCAATGGCAGGAAATCAGGTTTGATCCGAGGAGCGCTAGAGCAGCTAAGCTTAAGTTTCTTGAATCAAAAACTCTCCCCCGTTATCAAGGAACGAGGATTAACAGGAGTACATCTGTATTTATATATTCTGTTAATTTATCTGTTACAAGTAAATTTCTTCAATTTGCTTAATATGCCTGGTATCTTATTTTCATTAATAAGATATCTTGACATATCACATAAGTTATTATACTGTCTATCTCAATATGTGGACAATTAAGGGCATAGCTATCAAAAGAGTGAACACCGGGTTGGACTGAATGTAAAGTATGTGGTCAGTCCTGTGATCACTATCTTGAACACCATGTGTTTTATTGTCTACTTATTGAGGAATATAGAAATTGAGAGTATAATAGCCTGTGTAATATATCAAGATATCTTACTTATAAAAATAAGTTACCAGACATTTTAGGTAAATTTAATAAATTTGTTTACAAGAGATAAGCGAACTGTAGATACAAATCCAGATGTATTCCTGCTAACCCTTCTGGAGGTCTAGTTCCTAGGCCTTTTGTGTGTCCATATACTCTTGCGCTACCATCCACAGGATAGATAACGGGTGCACAATAAACTAGCTGCTTCGGCGATAAAATCTAGTTGCATGAAATTTTTTCGTTGCTACCTGCAACCAGAATTTCTGGTTGCTGCTTGGTGTCTACCTGTCTTCCCAATCATTCCACTCATTCATAATTGCTACCTGCCTTTCCAGTCATTCTTGGTAGCTACCTGCCCTTTCAATCAGTGCTGGTGGCTGGCTACCTCTCCTTCCAATCATTACTTGTGGCTAACTACCCTTCCAATCAATGCTGTTGGCTACCTACCCTTCTAATCAATACTGGTGGCTGACTACCTACCCTTCTAATCAGTGCTGGTGGCTGGCTACCTAACCTTCCAATCAATGATGGTGGCTGACTACCTACCCTTCTAATCAGTGCTGGTGGCTGGCTACCTACCCTTCCAATCAATGCTGGTGGCTGGCTACCTACCCTTCCAATCAATGCTGGTGGCTGGCTACCTACTCTTCCAATCAATGCTGGTGGCTGACTACCTACCCTTCCAATCAATGCTGGTGACTGACTACCCACCCTTCCAATCAATGCTGGTGGCTGGCTACCTACCCTTCCAATCAATGTTGGTTGCTACCACTCTTTCCCACTTATTGTAACGCTGAAACCTGACAGCGACGCTCCAAATGTCGACTTGCAATTTTCTACCAGTTGGTTTGACTTTCAGATCAAGTGCGTGAGTGAGCGAGCTTGTTGAACCCCTGGAGCACTTGGGAGAGAGACAGACAGACAGACAGAGAGTCGAAACAGAGGGAGGATAGTGGCCATGTCTTTCCTGCCTTTGCTAATAATGTCTTTCCCTGTTTTCTGGCAGTGTCCGAGTAACTAAGGAAAAACTCAAAGCGCATAAGTATTCCCTGGTAATGGGTGGACTTGGAATTAATTTCCATACGTATTCGAGATCATTGTCATGAAGCTGGGCTGTCACGTGCTCAGGCAACAGATGAATTCCCCAAACACGCGAAACGAATACATTTTGATCTTTTTTATAAACAAGCTTAATAGACGTTTCATCGAAAGAAAAAACATTTTTTTTTATTTTGTTCCTGTCTGCGCCTCAACAGTGGAAATGGAAATGTTTAGAATGGTAAGCACCAACGGAGAATATACCTAGAAATGAGTCTTGTCAGTGCTATGGTGGTAAGATATTAATTGGTTCGTGATAAATTCTCCGAAATGTTTCGTATAATGTTGTATTCCCTTAACTATAATAAATCTGTATTCAGACAAACTGCTAAGCCCATTTATTGTAACTTCCTTTTTATTCTAACTAAACAATCATCTTTATCATGCTCTAGCATAGTACGGTAATGAATCTATGTATTCTTTCTTCTTGCAGAAGATGTGAACGATGAGTGAGCGTGTCTCCCACCCCCACCCAGTCACCAGCCCGAACCAGAGAACCTCAACCAAGACCATTCTCCTCAGATTGTTTCTTTTAGCCCTCTTCTGCGCCGCTACCGCCTCTGCTTCTGCTGGCGCAGAAGAGCAGAGGCATTGGGGCGCAGCAGAAGCACCAAGTAGCTTAAGCGACACGAGTACCATCTGGAGCCCCGTCAATGAGCTCTTCCGAAGACTTTCTGGATCGGGAGACGACAATGATGAGTTAGTCTACGGTCCGGAGGCTAGCAATGGTGCTATGTTTAGCGAAAGTAAAGTCCTTCAACCATTTACTGACTATATAATGCGAAAAAGGGAGCATAATCAGGATAACAGTAAGAATTTTCGACGCTCTGTATACCATGGATCTTTAGAGAATTCGCATCGAACTTTAAATCGAGAACGGAAGCTTTCATCAAAAGAGGATTGGGGTGGAGCAAGAAAATCCGAAAGACAAAATGGGCTTGTGCCTCTAAAGCAAGAAAACTGGGAGCAAGAAGGTGGGAAGTTTGAGGTATCGAGCGCCGATAAAAGCAGCAAAGAAGCTCAGAACACGGGACACGAATCCTCCATTACAACAGTGAAGAGGGTTGGGAGGAATCTAGCAAGGACAGTGGAGAGAGAGAAGCATTTAACAGGCGGTCAGAAGAGAGATTCGAGTCTTAACACTGGAGCGAAGAGGAAAGATACTCAGAGCATTGCTCATGATGCAGTAGCATCATTAGGTGTTGACACAAACAGTCCCTCAGACAACGACAAAAAAAACTACTTCCATGCTTCAAGGAATCCATCAATAGTAGCATACGACACTGTCCGCCGCGACAGTTCAGAGACAGAAAGACTCGCGCGAGACGGCAAGCACACAGAACACGCTACTTCAGCACTGTACATCTCCGGAAGCCTACGTGACGGGCCTACCAGCACTGATAATGCAGGGATGTACATTTCCAGTGCCAGTCCGGTGGCAGCACCTCCCTGGGATAGCCCCTGGCACTCACAAAGTGGCACTTCGTCAGCAGTGTCACCTCTGGTGGGTGGAACTCACATATTCAGCGAGTCATGGGGAGAGGGCGGTAGGAACACAGAATACGGCGAAGAAATGGGATGGCACGAAGGAGTGGACGAAGAACCTTCCTGGGTGAGGGCCGCCGTGGACTACCACCCACTAGTCCTGGATCAGGACCGGTACCAAGACGTATTGGAGGACCCGATGGAACAAGTACCACCAGGACCTAACGAGTTAGTGGGAAACTTTGTTAAATATGTGAAGCAAAGTAAAGATTGTGAAAACCAATTATATTTTTTTCGAAAACTTATTTGTGTGCAATATATTTAACACTAAAAGAGGAGGCAGTTAGGGTAAGATATAAACAGTTATTGGAGGATAGATGGGCTAATGAGAGCATAGGCAATGTGATCGAAGAGGTATGGGGTAGGTTTAAAAATGTAGTGTTAGAGTGTTCAGCAGAAGTTTGTGGTTACAGGAAAGTGGGTGCGGGAGGGAAGAGGAGCGATTGGTGGAATGATGATGTAAAGAGAGTAGTAAGGGAGAAAAAGTTAGCATATGAGAAGTTTTTACAAAGTAGAAGTGATGCAAGGAGGAAGAGTATATGGAGAAAAAGAGAAGGTTAAGAGAGTGGTGAAGCAATGTAAAAAGAGAGCAAATGAGAGAGTGGGTGAGATGTTATCAACAAATTTTGTTGAAAATAAGAAAAAAGTTTTGGATGTGAGATTAACAAGTTAAGAAAGCCTAGAGAACAAATGGATTTGTCAGTTAAAAATAGGAGAGGAGAGTTATTAAATGGAGAGTTAGAGGTATTGGAAGATGGAGGGAATATTTTGAGGAATTGTTAAATGTTGATGAAGATAGGGAAGCTGTGATTTCGTGTATAGGGCAAGGAGGAATAACATCTTGTAGGAGTGAGAAAGAGCCATTGTGAGTGTGGGGAAGTTCGTGAGGCAGTAGGTAAAATGAAGGGGGTAAGGCAGCCGGGATTGATGGGATAAAGATAGAAATGTTAAAAGCAGGTGGGATATAGTTTTGGAGTGGTTGGTGCAATTATTTAATAAATGTATGGAAGAGGGTAAGGTACCTAGGGATTGGCAGAGAGCATGCATAGTTCCTTGTATAAAGGCAAAGGGGATAAAAGAGAGTGCAAAAATTATAGGGGGATAAGTCTGCTGAGTATACCTGGTAAAGTGTATGGTAGAGTTATTATTGAAAGAATTAAGAGTAAGACGGAGAATAGGATGCAGATGAGCAAGGAGGCTTTAGGAAAGGTAGGGGGTGTGTGGGACCAGTGTTTACAGTGAAACATATAAGTGAACAGTATTTAGAATAAGGCTAAAGAGGTCTTTGTGGCATTTATGGATTTGGAAAAGGCGTAATGACAGGTGGATAGGGGGGGCAATGTGGCAGATGTTGCAAGTGTATGGTGTAGGAGGTAGGTTACTGAAAGCAGTGAAGAGTTTTTTACGAGGATAGTGAGGCTCAAGTTAGAGTATGTAGGAAAGAGGAAATTATTTCCCAGTAAAAGTAGGCCTTAGACAAGGATGTGTGAGTCACCGTGGTTGTTTAATATATTTATAGATGGGGTTTGTAAGAGAAGTAAATTCGAGGGTCTTGACAAGAGGCGTGGATTTTAAAAGATAAAGAATCACACACAAAGTGGGAGTTGTCACAGCTGCTCTTTGCTGATGACACTGTGCTCTTGGGAGTCTGAAGAGAAGTTGCAGAGATTGGTGGATGAATTTGGTAGGGTGTGCAAAAGAAAAAAATTTAAAAGGGTGAATACAGGAAAGAGTAAGGTTATGGGGAAATAACAAAAAGATAGGTATGAAAGTTTGAATATCAGATTGGAGGGAGAGTATGGAGGAGGTGAAGTATCAGATATTTGGGAGTGGAACGTGTCAGGGGATGGGTCTATGAAAGATGAGGTGAATCATAGAATTAAAGAGGGAAAAAGAGTGAGTGGTGCACTTAGGAGTCTGTGGAGACAAAAACTTTGTCCTTGGGGGCAAAGAGGGGAATGTATGAGAGTATAGTTTTACCAACGCTCTTATATGGGTGTGAAGCATGGGTGATGAATGTTGCAGCGAGGAGAACCCCCTGGGCAGGGGGAGATTTAAAGGTCTGGGGGAAAATGTTGGTTGAATAAATGCGAAATTCGTTTTTGGGAAATTTAAGGAGAGGGGGGGGGATTCCCCAAAACTTTTTGTCCCAGAGGTTTGGGGAAAGGGGTTTTTGAGGTGGTTGGGACATGTAAAGAATGGAGCAAAACAAATGACTTCAAGAGGGGTTTCAGTCGGTAGTGGAAGGAAGGGGGGTTTGGGGGTCCCCTTTGGAAAGGGGTTGGAGGGGAAAAAAGGTTTAAAAAAGGTTTTTTTTGTGCAGGGTTTGGGATTTCCACAGTATCCCGACGTTTTGATGGGATAAATGGAGAAAAATGGTTTTTAATACTTGACTGCTTTTTGAGTGTGAGCAAAGTAAACTTTTGAAGGGGTTCGGGGAAAACCGGCACCCCGACTTGAGTCCTGGAGATGGGAAAAACAGGGGCCTGCACCTGAAGGAGGGGGGGTTTAATTTTTCCCATTTTAAAAACTGTAGGGGAAAAACCCCCTTTCCGGGCAAGCCCGTGTTTGGAGTAAATGAGGGTGAAATTTTTTCTTTTTGGGGCCCAAACCCTGGTTTGGGGGGAATGGGCCAGTGTGATAAAAAAAAAAAAAATTTTTAACCCCTTTAAACTCAAAAAGGTTTTAAAAGGGCCATGAAACCCCTTTTCTATACTTTTTATTTATCTTTAATTTAAATTTCTCTATGAATCAAACAGCATTCGAATCTTGTCCAACCAATCCTATTTTTTATGTTGCTTTATTAAACAACTTTTTGCCTTGAAAATCTTTCCTACATAAATTTGATTATGTTTTAAACACCCAAAATACCACTTTAATGTGCTAATTAATTTCTTTAAATTTTTAAAGGTGTAAAATTTGGGTGCTTCCCCGCTTGATTAATTCATCCCCAAACACCTCCACATCATCCTTCATCCCCCCCCACCACATCTCCAGTCATCCCAATCTCCAACACCATCACATCTCCCACTACTTCTTCCCCTACATTACTTTATCTTCAGCATCATAAAAATTTCCCTCTTTTCATAAATATCACCCCCTTTCTGTCATTCGTTTTGTCTTCCGGCAGAGAGTCTAGCGGGGGATCCCTGGGACCCGGTTTGCTGTCATCCCTGAGAAAGAGTGCAGCTGCTGGGGCCACCTCATAACCCAAGTGCCATTGAACCTCTCCACCGTCTTCAGAATGTGATTTTGCCACCTTCAAGGGCCAACTGATTGTTCCAACAAAAAAAGGGATTCAAGGGGGACCAAATTTGTGCCAACCTAAAATTTTCAACATTGTTTTCCCCCCACCCCTTTTTTCTTCTGTCTTGCCTTAGAAAGAAAACACGGGCACTTTTCATACATTTGGCCCCTTTAAAATTCATAGGCAATTTTGAAATATGTTTGTTCGAAAGATTCAGCAATATCCCCTTTTGAAAAGAGAACGACCAATATTTTTTTTTTGGCGTTGCGTGGTGTGTGCGGTGTGTGTTGTTTTGTGTGTGTGTGGGGTTTGTGTGTGTGTGTGTGTGGGGTTTTTGTGTGTGAGTGTGGGGGTTTACTTTTTTGTCCTAGGCAAAATGTCTTTAGACACAGGCCTGTGTACCCCAAATTTTTACTCACAAATTGTGGTTGCAGGGCTCGATACCACCCGGGTTCCCCCTTTTTCACCCCCCCGCTACGGGGTCCTCCCTCTCCCTGCTCCATGAGGTTTTATGGAACCTCGTTTTTAAAACATTTTATTCCTCCCTCCACAACATCGCTTCCCTAACAATTCCATTTCCCTAACAACCTGTGGCCTAAAGAAAAAACTTCCAACCCCCTTTTTGACCATCTGATTTTCAGTTTAAATTGTTTTGTGGTTTGCGAGTGTGTTTGTAAGAAAAAAAAAATTAAATTGAGTAAAGAGAGAGAGAGAGAAGAGAGAGAGAGGAGAGAGAGAGAGAGAGAGAAAAGAGAGAAGAGAAGAGAGATTGGGGGAAGAGAAGTGAGAGAATAAAAATTTTTTAAAAAGAGCTGATGTATTTAACAGCTCTTAGCTTGTAAATAAAGTTGGAATCTTTAACCTGAAAATTTGCTTGTCAATAAACCTGTGAAAAGAGAGAAGAGAGAGAGAGAGAAAAGAGAAAGGGGGAAAAGATAGATAAAGGAGGCTTTGAAGCACCTCCCAAACCAAGACTAGCGCTAGAACTATCTACTCTTTGTAGATAAAGGACTTTTGTGTATTATTTTAAGGGTTTAAAGGTAAGGATAGTAAAGCAGAGAAAAGAGAAGAGAAAGAGAGAGAGAGAGAGAAGAGAGGAGAGAAGAGGAGAAGAGTGGGAGAAGAGAGAGAGAGAGGGAGAAAAGAGAGAAGAGAGAAAATAAAAAATCCTTAAAGAATAAAAAAATTAGAAAAATAATGATATAAAAAAACTAGAAGGGGGGGAAATTTAGAAAAGGGGTTTTAAATGAAGGGAAAGAATAAATGAAGGCGAGAGAAACTAATAAGGGAAACAGAACAAAAAAAAAGGGAAAAACAAAAAGTTTTAACAGATAAAGCCCAAGCAAGAAAGAAAAGAGGGGGGAAAAAAAATTTAAATTTGGGCAGTCCCCGGGCAAGTGTTTTAAATTTGGGTGAGGGCTGATAGTCTCCTCTCTCCCCTTCTCTCCCCTCTCTCCTCTCCCCCCCTCCTCTCTCACTCCCCCTCTCTCTCCCCTTCCCCTCCTCCTCTCTCTCTCCTCCCTCCTCTCCCCTTTTCCTCCTTTTCTCCCCCCCTCCCCCCTCTCTCTCTCTCTCTCCCCCCTTCCCCCTCTCCCCCTGTTTTACACGGGGTTTGAAAAGGGCAAGGACCCCTACTGTTTGAAAAGCTTTTTACCTTTTAAGAATTCCTAACTTCATTGACAAGCAAAGACTGTTACCTCCCTCAACTTATTTGAAAGCATTTTTTTTATAAAACATACAAGTGGGGAACGGGATAAGTTGGACCCCATCGGGGGGCCCGGGCTTTTTTCTTTTGATAAACTGACTTTATCTCGTTAACATCATAATGCGTAACAAAAAATGTGTTCCATATTTCGAGTCACCCTGAAAAATATCTCAGATGGAGGGGATATTCGGGAAAAGGGGTTTACCCCCAGAGTGAATTTTCGTTTTTCCTGCCCGTCTTGGGGACAGAAGCTTGCTTCTCGCTGCCTCGAAGTGGGGTCCAAGTGTGGTACTTTGATTTAAGATCGTCTTGTACATAACCTAAGGCCACCCACATCCCTCCTCTGTTGAAGGCCTGCAGGAAAAAAAAAGATCTCTCCCCTCTCCCCTCTCTTTTCCCCTCTCCTTTCCCCCCTCCTCTCTCTCTCTCCCCCCTCTCCTCTCTCTCTCTCCCCTCCTCTCTCTCTCTTCTCTCTCTCTTTTACACAATATTTTACAAAGTTTTTGTTAAAGGTTCCCCAACTTTTATTTTCAAGCTAATGGCTGTTACTTTCTTTAGCCTTTTTACCCCTCTCCCCTCCCGTTTTAAATTTATAACTTGTTTCCAGGGTTATACATTTGGGCAATCCCTTTCGACTATTTTTTTTTTCCTCATATAGTCCTGGGAATTGAAAATTGTGGTTCTTTTTACAGTTTTCAAACCCCATTTACGATTTTATTTATCCCCCTTAAAAACCTTTCTTTTTCCCCTTCCCCGAGAAAGAGAGAAAGGGGGGGCGAACACAAACGTGGGGAAAATTTTTCGGGAAGTCATGGAACACAAACCCCATGAACACAAGAGTTTATAAAAAAAAACACCAGGGAAACAAGAATCATGGAATACAAAAAGTCGCAGAATGCAACTGCAATGTACACAAGAAACAAGGAATACAACAGTTATGGAACACATGGGTAAAATGAGCCCTGTAGTTGTAGACAAAACACAATAATTTTTGTTTTACAAATTGTTGGACAAACATTTTTCAAACATCGAACCCGAAAGGAAAAAAAGAAAGGGGGGACAACTGATGTTTCTTTTGGACACCCGGGGCCCTGGGCCAACCAGAGAATGGGGGTATTTGAGTATTTTTGGGGAACAGTATTTCAGTAATGGTAATAGTAAATAGTAGAATTTTTAGTAGTAACCCAAAATACAGTATAACATTTTAGAAGTAAATAGTAGTAGTTTTTTAGTAATTTTTTTGTAGAAGTAGTGAAAGGGGGTGTAAGATAGTAAAACAGTAGTAAATGGTAATAGAAATAGTAGTAAAAAGAAACAGTAACAGTATAGTAAAGTAGTGGGGAAATAGCAGCCGAGAAGTATAGTAGTACAGTAGTGCAAAGTGCATTTTTCTCTTAAATATCCAGGAACCTTCTTTTTTTCAAAACAACATGGAATTCTCCTCACCGATTAGTCGTCGAACAGTATACCATAAAGAGTAAAGAGCCCGCAGAGACCATCTTGATAAACTATCCTTAAAATAATGCCCCAGATGGAAAAAAAAGCTAGCTAAGGTAGATAGTGAAATTTTCAAAAAATAACCTCTGGAATTAAAAACCCCATCCCCCCTACTTTGTTCCCTTTTCCATTTAAAAAACCCTTTTGATTCCCTCCCCTTTCTTTTCCTTTTTTTTCCCCTCTCCCTTTTTTTTGCTCCGTCACTTTCCCTCTCTTTTAACCAGTGGATAAAAAAAAGAGAGAATTGTATTCTTAAATTGTCAGATGATGCGCCCAAAACACCTAGAAATTTTATCAAACGACACATTATCGCCCTTTGCAAGGGTACCAAGGGATGTTGTGTGTGTGGTGTGTGGGTGGTGTGTGTGTGTGGTGTGTGGGTGTTGTGTGTGTGTGTGTCCCCACCTAGTTGGGACTCACCTAGTTGAAAGGGTTTCCGGGGGGCGAAAACCGAGCTCCTGGCCCCCGCCTTTTTCACTGTCGCAAATAGGTCCCCTCCCCCCCGAGCCGTGAGCTTAACAACCTCTGGGGTAAAAACTATGAAAGATCCTGCCCCACAAAAAATTTGCTTCCCAAACTATTCCCCCTTACTGACTACTCTGTGGCGAAGAAAAAACTTTTCCCAAAACCCTGTGAATTTAACTGTGTCTTTACTTCCCAAATGTGTCCCCTTGTTACTGTGGTTTCCCAACTCTGGAACATCCGTCTTTTCCACCCCCCTCAAATTCCCCCCAGTATTTTTTTTATGTCGGGTTTTCATGTCCCCCCCCATCTCTCCTGTCCTCCAGTGTTCCCTCCCGGTTTATTTCCCCCTTTCCCCCTCCTCGTAGGGCATACCCTTAGCCTGGGACTATTCCCTTTTTGCAAACCTTTGCACTTTCTCTATTTCTTTACGTGGGGGTTGTGTTTTGTGTGGTGTGTGTGGTTGTGTTTTGTGTGTGTTGTGTGTGTTGTGGTGTGTGGCATGTGGTGTATTGTGTGGGACTCACCTAGTTGAGGTTTTCAGGGGGCCAGTCCTAGCTCCTGACCCAGCCTCTTCACTGGTACTACAAAGGGCCCCTCCCCTGAAACCCGGGGGCTTTTTTCATACCTCTGCTTAAAACATTATGGAAACCTGCCTCCCTAAACGCTTTCCCAAAAATATTCTACTTCCTGACTAATCTGTGGCTGAAGAAATACTTTCCCAACATCCCCTGGATTTTTATCTGTGTCTTCAACTTCCCAAATGTGTCCCCCCCTTTTTGCCTTTTCCCCCTCTCTTTGGGAAAATCCTCACTTTGCCACCTTGTTTAATTTCCCCCTCAGTACTTTGTATGTCGTTTTTCATGTCCCCCCTATCCTCCTCTCCCTCCATGTGTCAGGTTTGATTTCCCCCTTTAAACCTCCCTCGTAGGACATACCTCTTTGCTATGGGACTAGTCTTGTTGCAAACCTTTGCACTTTCTCAAGTTTCTTTACGTGCTTGGCTAGGGGTGGGTTCCAAACTGGTGCCGCATACTCCAATATGGGCCTAACGTACACGGTGTACAGGGTCCTGAACGATTCCTTATTAAGATGTCGGAATGCTGTTCTGAAGTTTGCTGGGCGCCCATATGCTGCAGCAGTTATTTGGTTGATGTGCGCTTCAGGAGATGTGCCTGATGTTATACTCACCCCAAGATCTTTTTCCTTGAGTGAGGTTTGCAGTCTCTGGCCCCCTAGACTGTACTCCGTCTGCTGTCTTCTTTGCCCTTCCCCAATCTTCATGACTTTGCACTTGGTGGGATTGAACTCCTGGATCCAATTGCTGGACCAGGT